GAGATTTTATTTATTTATTTGAGAGGTAGAGTTACAGAAAGTGAGAGGGAAAGTCAGAGAGAAAGGTCTCCTGTCCTCTGGTTCACTCCCCAAATGGCCGCAACAGCTAGAGCTGCGCCAATCTGAAGCCAGGAGCCAGGTGCTTCTTCCGGGTTTCCCACACAGGTGCAGGGGCCCAGGGACTTGGGCCATTTTCTACTGCTTTCCCAGGCCATAGCAGAGAGCTGGACTGGAAGAGGAGCAGCTGGGACTAGAACTGGTGCCCATATGGGATGCCGACACCGCAGGCAGAGGATTAACCTACTGTGCCACAGCGGCAGGCCCGAAAGGATATTCTTTTCAATAAATGGTGCTGGGGAACTGGATATACACATGTAGAAGAATGAAATTAGAATCCTACCTCTCACCATATACAAAATCCCCTCCAGATGGAGGAATGAGCTAAACGTAGAACCTGAAACTATGAAATTGCTAGAAGACAGAAGCAGTGCAAGATATCGGTATAGACAATGATTTCTGTTGGGGAAGACCCCAAAAGCATGGCAACAAAAGCAAAGCTAGACAAATGGGATTACAGTAAACTCAGCAGCTTCTGCACAGCCAAGGGAACAATCAACAGAGCCAAGAGACATGCAACAGAATGAGAGAAAATATTTGCAAGCTACTTATCCAACCAAGGATTAATATCCAGAAACATATCGAGAACTCAAAAAACTCTGCAACAGGGACCGGCGCGGGGGCGTAGCGGGTAAAGGCGCCGCCTGCAGTGCTGGTAACCCACATGGGAGCCAGTTCAAGTCCAGCAGCTCCACTTCTGGTCCAGCTCTCTGCTGTGGCCCGGGAAAGCAGTGGAGGATGGCCCAAGTGCGTGGGCCCCTGCACCCGCATGGGAGACCTGGAAGAAGCTCCTGGCTCCTGGCTTCAGATCAGCACAGCTCTGGCCCTTGCAGCCAACAGGGGAGAGAACCAGCAGGTGGAGGACCTCTCTCTCTGTCTCTCTTTCTCTGCTTCTCCTTCTCTCTGTGTGTAACTCTGACTTTCAAATAAACAAATCTTTTTTAAAAAAAAAGATGAAATAAAAGGTTTCTTTTAAAACAATGAATGGAGACCATACACAAATAAGTGAACTCATGTGCCATGTAATGACGCCTTGGTCGAGGACAGTCCACCTGAGTGACTGCGGTCCCTGCCCAGCAAGTGTAAGTGCACTCTGATGACAGAGTTACCTAACCATGCAGCTCTCAGAACAGACCACCATCACTGAACAGCGTGTGACTGCCTGTCTCCAATGTTAAAAGAGATCTGTTTTAAAAGATTTGGTTTAAAATGTGATGTAAAAGAGGCTCTGGCCTTGTGGCACAGTGGGTTAAGCCACCTCCTGCAATGTTGACATCCCACATCCAAGTTCTGGATTGAGCCCAGGTGCTCCACTTCAGATCCAGCCCCCTGCTAACGCACCTGGATGGCAGCAGAAGATGACCCAAGTCCTTGGGCCCCTGCCACCCATGTGAGAGACCCAGGGCACAGTAAGCTAAGCTTCCAGCATCCCATATGGGTGCCCGATTCTAATGCTGGCTGCTCCTCTTCCAATCCAGCTCTCTGCTATGGCCTGGGAAAGCAGTAGAAGATGGCCCAAGTGCTTGGACCTCCACACCTGCATGGGAGACCAGGAAGAAGCTCCTGGTTCCTGGCTTTGGATTGGCTCAGCTGTAGCCATTGAAGCCACTTGAGGAGTGAACAAGCAGATGGAAGACCTTTCTCTCTTGTCTCTCCCTCTCTGCTATAACTCTGCCTCTCAAATAAATAAAATCTTAAAAAAAAAAACCTCATTGAAAATCAAGACAAAAAAACAAATACATCGTATATATATGTGTATATTAATATATACACATATAAAGCCTCTTATATAATATATATTATATAATATATTGTATATATCCTCTCCTTACTGGAGAAAACGAAACATAGAACTTCAACTGAAAGATTCTTCTCCCTGCCACTGAGTTTCGGTGAGTGTCGGGAGACTACTATGCACAGTGGACTTCCCTCGTTCCAGTACAGAGCAGCTCTTCTGAGCAAAGGACGTACTGAGAAAGCAAACAGCCGTGGGAACCAGAGACTGTGCCCACCTGGGAGAGACTGAGAGGACTCCCCGGCCAGGTGGCACACACTGAAGGCCTGCTCCCCCACACCCCCAGCGGTGACTGATCTCCCTCTCTCTTTGGAGAGAGGCTGGGCAGGGGGGCCCAGTGTCCCCAGGAAAAAACTGAGTCATCCAGTCTCCTGTGAGGCAACCGATCACCCACCCAGCTCCCAGGGGATGAAGTCGCATCAAGCACCACCACACACTCCTCTGCATGAGGGCTTTGCTTCGAGAAAGAACATCTGTGTCTCTGACGCTCGTGTGTGTGTGTGTGCGTGTGTGCGTGCGTGTGTGTGTGTGCATGCATGTGTGAGACTGGCAGCTAACTCCCCAGCTTGTAAGTAGTGGAAAATTCCAGATGCTTCACCGTTCTGCCTTAGCAGAGGAGCAAGAAGGAACACTCCAACATAACAGGCAGTGACTTTAAACTTGGTTTCACAGTAACTTCAGGAATACTCTTTTTAAACATGTTTTACATTTTTTCATCTACTTGAAAGAGAGGGTTATACACACACACACACACACACACACACACAGATCCTCCATCTACGGGTCTTCTCACCAAATGCTCACAACAGTCAGGGTTGGGCCAGGCTAGGAACTCCACCTGGGTCTCCTACCTGAGTGGCAGGGACCCAAGCACTTGATCCTTCATCCACGGCCTCCCAGGAACATTAGCCAGGGGCTGAATCAGAAGCAGGGCAGCAAGAACTCAAACCAGCACTCGCACAAGGGCTGCAGGCAGCCCACACGGTCTCTTCACCCCTATGAGTGTGACAGTGTAAGGAAAGGGACAGCACAGCAGGATACAGGATTCACAAAGATCCCTCAGCGGGAGCTGAAGGTGAGGCGGTTCAGTTGTATTTCTGTTCACTGTCTAAGGAAAGAGGAACAAGGCGTGTCATTCGAGGATCCAGGGATCAACACAAACCAGTTTTTACCTTCTCAGACAACAGGCATCACAAGAGAGGCTTTAGTCAATGTTGTTCTCAGATTTCTGGAAACTTCGACATCTTTGGTTAAAGAGAGACACCTCCATAATAGGTAGGTGTTGACCGTGGCCAACATCTCTGCACCCTTTCCCTCAAGCACCCAGACGTTTCCATCTGCCCACTTCACTCTCAGGTCCCGTGGTCCCAGAAGGACCCAAACTCCACTCCAAGGGCTGGAGCAGGGAGTGGGGTCCCGGGCCAAGTGGGTGCATCCAGTTTCCCTCATTGAGGGGTGAGCACTGCCACAGAAGAGTTTGCAGATTCTGCTGAGGGACCCCCATGTCAAGGCCTATCCTTCCTGCTGCCACTGGGCCTCAAACAGCTGTGACCAGAAGGGGAAAGCCTGTCTTGGCATGGAGCCAACATGGAGAAAGTGGAACCGAGAGCCCAGAGAGAAAGCAACAGGATCCAGATGACCTGCACCCGGCGACGTCTGTCATCTGAACAGCTCTGTGTTGGCTACACAAGCTAACACCTCTCTGCTCGGGGCGCCACCCAGTGCAAGCCGGATTTTCTCCCTCTCCACCAAGACAGTTTAAATGGACTCATGCTAAGTTTTGTTAGCCAGACTTGCCAGATTCTGAACGTTCTGTAGTGAAAATGTAGGATGCAGAAATGGAAAAGCCCAGAGTTTGTGCCCTAACACTTAGAAAACGAATGCACACGAAAACAAGTTGGTTCTGAAAACATTTCAAGAGCTTTGTCCTTAACTAATCTAACGGAACCTCGATAAAACCAAGTAGAAAATGTCATTTGAAATGTACCTAGATATTGATGAGTCTATCCAAAAGTATTGATAGTTAAATACACTCAATATATTGTGTCAAGCTAAGACTATCTTAGAAATGTAACAAGGGCATGAGGAGAAAGGAACGAAAGAGACTTTTAAGGCTTCGTGGGGAATTTCATTTAGGGTTGACTTAAGTGGTGATTTGCATGGTTAGGCTTAAGTTGAAGTATCTGAAATGGATAATTTGATGCAGTTCAGTAAGGTAGGCACAGACGGCAGCTAAGGCGTGGCTTAGGACACCCATATCCTATATTGGGATGCCTGGGCATGAATCTTAGCTCCCAATCCCAGCTTCCTGCTGATGTGCACCCCAGGAAGCAGCAGGTGATGGCTCAAGTACTTGGGCCTCTGCTGTCCATGTGGAAGACCCAGATTGAGTTCCTAGCCCTTGGAGAGTGAACCAGCAGATGGAAGATCTCTGTCTGTGTCTCTCTTTTTTCTCTGCCTCTCAAATAAATACATAAATGGTTTAAAAATAATAATAATAAGGTAGAAAAAAGGTCCACGGGGCCAGCGCTGTGGCGTAGTAGGTTAAGCCGCTGCCTGCAGTGCCCACATCCCATGTGGGTGCCGGTTCAAGACCTGGCTGCTCCTTTTCTGATCCAGCTCTCTGCTATGGCCCGGGAAAGCAGTAGAAGATGGCCCAAGTCCTTGGGCCCCTGCACCCACGTGGGAGACCCAGAGGAAGCTCTGACTCCTGGCTTCAGATTGGTGCAGCTCCAGCCATTGCCGCCATCTGGGGAGTGAACCAGCAGATGGAAGACCTCTCTCTCTCTCTCTCTCTCTCTCTCTCTCTGCCTCTCCTCTCTCTGTGTAACTGTGACTTTCAAATAAAATAAATAAATATTTTTTAAAAAAGAAAAGAAAAAAGTCCATATTACCTAATCTTTCAGTTACTTAAGCCAGGTCATATACTGTATTGATTAAGGCCCCACCATGCATTCCTCTTACCCAAGCTTATCTATTTCACATGTAGGATGCTCAAGCATACTGCATCTTCATTTTCCAATTTTGCAAATGCAAATCCTCTTTAAGCAAAGGAGTTCACCCCATGCCTGACGCAACACTCGCGTACCTGTGGGTTGTACAGGGGCTGCCGGGGCAGGTTCACTTCCCTCAGCAGGCGGCGGGCGATGCCCCTCAGCTCCACAAGTCTGCAGGTGAGCTGAGGCTGCAGGAGCTTGGCCATGGACTTGGAGGACCTGGAGATGCTGCTCAGCCCTCGGATCCAGGTGCCCCGATTGATCTTGGCTAACACGACTGCCATTCTGATTCTTGATGTTTTCTGCACGGGTTTTCTTTTCTAAAAAACAAGTCTTTGAAAAGTAACTGACATGTGATCGATGCCTTACTGAAATCCACTCTGGCAGAGACTGACTGGCACTGAACCACGTGGTGTGTGCTGTGCACACATGCTCAGCGGTCCCCTCCCTGCCCCTAAATCCTCACATGGAATTTATTCCCTTAGCAGAAATACCCAGAACTGAAGATGAAAGTGCTTCATTTTCTTCCCTGGATTTACATCTTTTTGCTTAATTTTGAGAGAACATTTCAAAATTAAACAAGAATTCTTATTCCAACAATAATAGATATTGAAAATCATTATGCTTTCCCAGGTTACTTTAAAATTTATTTTTCTTAAAAAGTGCTGTTTTACTACAGTTTGGCACTCATATAGGGACTCTGTAAAAATTCATATGTATATACACATATATTTCTATTTAAATACTACATAGGTATTATAGAGGTAGATAATTTTAAACCGTAATTTCTGAAATGGTAAAATCTTGACTCCCATAAATATCAAAAGGAACATGAGTCAAAATGCTAAATGTCAAAATATCCATTTAATTATTAGTTAATGAGGAAACCAGTAAGAAGTTAAAATCAACTCATTATAGAATTTTGACCTACAGAGTTATATTCCTTACTGGACAAAATCCATTGGCACTGCCAAGAATAGGAGTCATTTGCATTGCTATTTTCAGTTTCCCAAAAACTTCACATTTTTCAGTGACTAACTAGAGCACAGACATAATATATGTGACATGTATAATTTAAAGAAAAACGATACACAAACCCCATATACTACTCAATGAGCTTAAGAAACTTATTCCTAAAGCCTTCAGAAATGCTACTGATTTTCTGATGGGAAAAAAAAAAAGTGTGTGGCATTACCCAAACACACGACCTGAAGGTCTTTTTCTCTGCTCTAGGAGACAGTGAACCAAGGCAAAACCACCCTCAATGCCGTCAGACTACATTCCAGGCAACAGGCAAGTGGACTTTCCATTATTCACCTGGGTAATTTTATGGGCTCTCCCGGCCTTTCAACATATAACTTGGAGTGGGGGTGCAGAGTATTGGCTAGTAACAACAAATGAGCAACTTTGGATTTCTAAACATTTATTGCATCTAAATATATAAAGACAAAATAACTTTTAAGTGCTATTTTGCTGAAGATGACTATTACACATGTCTTAAGAGGTAACACAATGCCTATTTATTTCAAACGCATCAACGTTTATCCCGGCATAAATGTTATGGCTAGTGCTTTGTCCTCAAAGTTCTTCTCTTCCTGCTCAGCATTTATCGCTGGAGACAACCCAAGTGGTCCTAGACTGCCGAGATGGATGTATTTCTGCTGCATTTGCTGTTGTGGTTTACTCGGCTAACTTCACGGAGAGAGTCCACTGGCAAACTTGTGGTCTCTGCCCCTGCAGTCAACACTAAGAGTAGAGAGTGCAATCCCAATCCCAATTGTGAGCTGCTGCACTCGCCACCTGTAATCCTGAAAGTGGTGCCTTGGGCAGGTAAGTAGGGCAAGCCAAGTAAGAGGCAGGTGCAACCACTTGTGCTTGCTATCTACTGTGGTTGTGAATTGTCTGCGGTAGCCACAGCTCCTGCACACACACACACACACACACACACACACGAGGCCACCGGCCTTGGGACTTCATGCTTTACTGCACTGACCCCTACAACTCCTGGGATGTGTGGGGTGGGCGGAATAAGCTAGGTTTTGCTTCTAACTACAATTTGCTTGTGTTCTCTCGCTTTAAAATTTATCACAAGGAGAGGGCCACGTTGCCAAGGCACACATTTACTAAATCCTTGTCTACTGGTTCAAGATTCTGTGTTTGGGAGACCTCTCATGTTGCAGTTGCAAAATGAGACCGTTCTGCAGTTTCCCCATACTTATTTTGTAAGTTCCCTTACAGATTCTTGATGACCTGAACATGTTTTCCTGGATTCAGTGATGTCATCCATCTCCTCGTATTAACCATCCTGATTGCTCCCCCAAACCTACACTAAATGGGTGCCTTCCACATCCCCCCTCTTTTACATCATCTCTCTACCTTACTTCTGTTAAAAATAAGGCTGTTTTTGATCATCTGTTAAGTCTCAGGTGGGGTTCACACAAGTGGGGTTGAGCAACAATAGCATTTTTTTTTATTTTTATTTTTTTATTTTTTATTTTTTGACAGGCAGAGTGGATAGTGAGAGAGAGAGACAGAGAGAAAGGTCTTCCTTTGCCGTTGGTTCACCCTCCAATGGCCGCCGCGGCCGGCGCGCTGCGGCCGGCGCACCGCGCTGATCTGATGGCAGGAGCCAGGAGCCAGGTGCTTTTCCTGGTCTCCCATGGGGTGCAGGGCCCAAGCACCTGGGCCATCCTCCACTGCACTCCCTGGCCACAGCAGAGAGCTGGCCTGGAAGAGGGCAACCGGGACAGAATCCGGCGCCCCGACCGGGACTAGAACCCGGTGTGCCGGCGCCGCTAGGCGGAGGATTAGCCTATTGAGCCGCGGCGCCGGCCCAACAATAGCATTTGTTACAAACAATATATTTAATGTATATCAAGAGTTCATGGCCTTTGGGGTAGAACTCTATCTTCTGAGAAATAATCTCTTTGTTTCCTTTTAGTGCTCAAGCTGCTACAATTTGACCACTGTGCTTCCCAGCAAAGCCTTAAAAAATTACTCTTCACTAAGTTGAAACTTTCCTGGATACCAGTGAAACAGTGGTTACTTCTGACAACAAAACATTCCTCATCACCTCTCTTTTCCCTACACAAAACCCAGGGAATCAACCCTTTGCTAAGAAGACCTCCTCCTTGCTCCTGAGAATAGTATTAAAAACAAACAAACAACCCAGTGTATCCAGGCCCAGGGGTTCTTTGTGGCTGGGGGCAGGAGGGACAGGAAAGTGACAAGGAGGAGAGGCATCTGCATTCCTTTAGATGCCTTTCACTTTTACAGAGCAGTGGCCAATTTATGAAGATTTCAATTCCTCTTGCTTTTAGTAAGTTGCTTTCTAAACCAGCCCTAGTAGGAAATTTTTTTTAAGGAAGCTTTTAATGAATACAAATTTCATAGGTACAGCTTTAGGAATATAGTGGTTCTTCCCCCCATACCCACCCTCCCACCCCAACTCCCATCCCACCTCCTACTGCCTCTCCCATCCCATTCTTCATGAAGCTTCATTTTTAATTAACTTTATATACAGAAGACCAACTCTATACTAAGTAAAGATTTCCACGAAATGGTTTCTTTGAGCTATCAGTTTTTTCCCTTTTTTCTATCGACTACCCTATATATTTTCTTACCAAGCCAAGTGTGTAAATTTCAGTGTAAACCACACTTTTCCTTTTTTTGTTTTTGCATTCTTGGCCTAAGAATACTGGAACTGGTTGCACATTGTGTAAGTTTTCATAATTACTTTTTGGGATCATCATCAGAAAAGATATTTCAACCCCTTCCTCCAAACCATAACCAGCTCGGGGACTCACAAAGGAAACTGGAGGTCTCTTATGAAAAGAGACTGAGTATCAGTTTGTAAGGTTGCTTCCAGAATCCCACTCCAGATTTCTCCCTCTGGACTCACTCTCGGAATACATATTCTATTTTCCCTTTGCATTTCTTTTTTCCTAGAGCCACGCTCATTTCTTCGTCATCAGCAGTTTTCACGCTGAACTCCAATTTCTGTGACCTCAGCTTTTTACTATCCCCCATCTAGAAAACCAGCCTGTCAGCAAATCTTACTCAATTGTTTGCTCTGCAGAGTAGCAGAATCTGACCACCCTCGGGGCCTCGGGTTCTGGCAGCCACGCGGTTGTAGTTAAGAAAGGGCCCCCTCTCTTCTAACTGGCTTCCCTGCTCCCACCCTCGCCTCTTTTCATTCTGTTCAATAAAACCTAAGCCAGAGAGACCCAACTGACTTGCATCCGATCAACTCTCGCTCTTGCTCAATTGCACCTGCTTCTGCTCAGTGGCTTCCTGTGGCCCTCCTGCTCTAAGCCAAAGTATCCACAATGCCCTACAGGGCATCCCATCTTTTCCCTCTGGCCTCACCCATCTTTTTCTCTCCCTTTTTCTCCCCACAATCTGTTTAACTCCTTAGATATGTGCCCACCTCAGGGACTTTGCACTTGCCATGCCATTTGATTCCGCCAATACACTCAAGCTTTCCCCCTTGCTTCCTTCAAATCTTAATTCAAGAACTACTTGGTCTCAAAAGCCTTCTTGGTCATCCTACTTAAAACCAACAACCATTCTCCCAGTTCCCACGTCCCTACTTCATATCCCTTGTCTACTGTATTTTTTCTTCACACAGACTTACTACAGGGTTTATTTTCTCTGTCCATTGTTGTCCTATTTGACAAGAATGCAGATTTATAATGGCCATGTTTTAAGTTCACATGGCTAATTTTCCCCCATTGTCTAGGGCTGGCACATAGTATGTAGTTTATGAATATTTGCCAAAACAAATAAAAAAAGTAATCAGGAAATAGAACAAATTAGTATTGAAAAATCAGAGAAACACACCATACATTACATCAGAAACCAGCCAGGAAGTTTTTAGTGCACACCATACTATGTAAACTTTCACAATGATGACAATTCTGTACAAGAGACAATTCACCAAAGATAAAAATACAATGGAATATAGAATATTCTAGTTACAGTCTTAATCTAATTATATTTCAAAATTCCAACTGCATTAGAAGTACTCTCAAATACCATTAGTGCATTCTCAGCAGTTTTTGTCCATATTTTTGCATACAGAATTCAGAAAAGTACATTTACAGATGTAACATTCAAATTTTTTGACATGGATTCTAGTATGTTCTGTCCATAATTCCCAGTTTAGTAATGCAGCATATAGTCAAATGCAAAATAGAAAAACAAAACAAAACAAAACAAACCCCAATCACCTTTCATAGTTAAAAACACAAAGATAAACATGATTTCCACAAAGGTGACTTTCAGATTCCAGTTGAGGATCACCCAAATTAAACATTTTTAGTTCCCTAACGGTAGTACACTTTTCTTTGTTCAAATGTAAAAGCCTACTATTTTTAAAGTCCTCATATGGAAATCATTTGAAATTTGCAAATGTAAGCCTTAAAAAAAATCACTCTTCACTAAGGAAATGGATACTGAGGGTACTGGGGTCTGGGCTGGTTGGGACGGAGCAGTGGAGAAGCTGGGACCTCAGAGGCCACCGTCTCCACCCAAGATTCTAAAATTAGCTTTCCCAGCCCCGGCAAGAACAGTTCATTCAAAACCTTCATCCATGAAGAATTACTTAATCACCATTATTCTGGGTCTGTTCCTCTATAAAAATTCCACCATCGCTCCCACCAAATCTTTCTGCTCCAGGCTATCATGAAGGTCTTTTCTGAAATAATTAAGTCGGGGTGGGGGAGGGGCAACTTCAATACTAATCACAAAATGTAGAGATTTAAAATATAATCTGTTCCTTTTGGAATGCTCAATCTACAGAAATGTTTTAAAACATTCAGCACTTACAGTTTGGTCTCTAAAAAAAAAGAAAACTACCTAGTTAATGACCAAGTATTAGCAACGTTTTCTGGATAATTTGTTTTTGAAGAGCAAATGACCTCAAATGAATTATAATATCCCTGAGCTACTCAGATTTCTTGCCAATCTCAGCAACACATTCTTCAAAATAAATGGTGGAAAAAGAACAATGTAAGTGTTCTGAAAATGAGAAACAAAATAGCCTTAATTATCTTTATGTTCCTCTCCGAGTGGTGTGCAGCTCTCAGAAATCAATGGCCTCAGTGAAGTTGGAAATATGAACTAGAGTTTCCCGGGTATCAGACAGTCCATCTAGTTCACCAGAAACCCAAGAGACAATGAGCTATTCAGAGGGGGAAGGGAATTGTGAAGACAGTTGCAACTTCTCTGATTCAATAAAAGCCAGGTTTTCCTAACCTTGACAATGGCGGGAGGATTGCAACTTGGAAGGGGCAGCAGGACTTCCCAGGCCTGTCTCTGGCTTCCTAGGCTCTGCCTTGAGGCTTTTGCTGTCATTCCTGCCACCACAGTGCTGCCTGAACCAGGTGACATCCTATATCCGGTGTGGCCACTTGTCTGTCTCTTTGCTTACTGCTCCAGAACACAGCCAGGACAAGTCCCCAGTGTCCCAAGAGCCCATATACCAAGGCCAGGGGCATGCAAAGCAAGATAAACAATGAGACCCCAGGTCTAAGACATGGCTACTTCCCCCTGCCACTCTTGGCTCAGCCTTTGAGTTCTGGTTTTCTCTCTGTGATGAATGGCACTGGGCATGTCTGCTTTCTCAGGGTTATTATCTTCTCTCTCGTGCCACACCAGTGTTCATGTCTCATCAACTGCAGTAGAGTCTATCGCCCCTCACAACAAACAAGGAATTCATTTGCACAATGGCCACACAGCAGTCAGTCCCCAGCTGTAAGAGCAGAGACTGCCGGCTGGAGTCTCCCGGGAGTCAGCTTCGCAAGTCTCAGAATTCTGCCATGGCTAAGAAAGCTCAGCAGCTCCTCAAAGTTACAACTCACACGTGATTCAGTGATAAACAAGAATGGCTATCAGGGCTGGTGTTGTGGTGCAGCAGGTAAAGCTACGCCCATCCCAAACAGGCGACCTGGCTGCTCCACTTCCCATCCAGCTCCCTGCTAGTGCTACTGGGAAAAGCAGCAGATGATGGCCAAGTGGTCAGGCCCCTGCCACCCACGTGGGAGACCCTGATGAGGTTCCTGGTTCCTGGCTGTTGCAGACATTTAGGGAGTGAAACAGCAGATGGAAGATCTTTCTCTGTCTCACTCTCTTTCTCTGTAACTCTTGCAAATAAATAAATAATCTTAAAAAAAAAAGCCTATCAGTTCATTTTTAGAAATGTATGGGTATAATAATTTGAATCATTTAAATATACAGCAAACAGATACTTTCAATGTAAAAAAAAAGTTATTTTTGAAAATAAGAACTTGGGGGGCCGGCACTGTGGTGCAGTGGGTTAATGCACTGGCCTGAAGACCTGGAATCCCATATGGGCGCCAGTTTGAGACCTGGCTGCTCCTCTTCCGATCCAGCTCTCTGCTATGGCCTGGAAAAGCAGTAGAAGATGGTCCAAGTCCTTGGGCCCCTGCACCCACGTGGGAGACCTGGAAGAAGCTCCTGGCTCCTAGCTTCAGATCAGTGCGGCTCTGGCTGTTGTGGCCAATTGGTGAGTGAACCACCAGATGGAAGACCTCTCTCTCTCTCTCTCTTTCTCTCTGACTCTCCTCTCTCTCTCTGTAACTCTGACTTTCAAGTAAATAAATAAATCTTTAAAAAATGAAAGAAAATAAGAATTTGAAGAGCCAGCAAGCATTTCTGGTGAACGAGCAGTTCCACAGCAGTGAATTAGCCAGGAGCTGGAATCGGCAGTGAGCTGGGATCGGACCCCAGGTACCCAGCAGTGGATGCAGGCTTCCTAAGCAGCATCTTTGTTTTACTTTATTTACTTAAGGTAAACAACTTTCACGTATTTCATATATATCAATTTAGGAACCTAGTGATACTTCCCACCCCACCCTCCCTCCTGCCCATGTCCAAGCAGTATCTTTACTGCTGTGCCAAACAGTCACACCCCTCCACGGTAAGCAATAAAATTTCCCCTTAGTTTCCCTCTGCACTAGAGTTATTGGCTTCCCTTTTACACTATACACTCATGACTCCTAAATATGCATCTTCATCCCAGACTTCTCTTGAACTTCCAGCCTTCATATTCAGTGTACAACTCAACGCCAGGGCTCAGACTGCTGTGGCACAGCCCCCAAACTGTGACCCAGTTAGATTCATCATCTCCAAACCTGCTCTTCCTCATAGAGGCCGGCATCCCAGTTAATAGGATCACTACTCTGCTAGCCACCCAAGTCATCCAGAGTCTCCCCAGTCCCACACATCCCACTCTTTTCACACTGTCAGTTTCAAACTTCTCAATAGCTCTTGCATCCAACCCACTCTGTCCACTTCCAGTGTCAATGTCCTTGCTTTTGTCTGTCATTTGCAGCAGACACTGATTAAGCATTTCTCTGTTATCTGGGACTGGGGAGAGGGGACACAGTGATGAGCAATGTGAGGTGTAACCGAGACAGAGAAGCCAACAAGTCTGCCTTCTTGGAATGTCTGCCTCCAGTCAGCCTTCCTCACCAGTTGTGCCAACTGAATGCCATTTCTATGCTCAACTCTCTCATGACTCACATCTGGATGACAAGACAAAGTCCAGTCTTTCTTACATGGAGTAAGAAACCTTGCATATTCAGACTCCCTGTTGTGTCTCCTAACTTTTTTTTTTTTTTTTTTTTACAGAGTTAGACAGTGAGAGAGAGAGACAGAGAGAAAGGTCTTCCTTCTGTTGGTTCACCCCGTAAAGTGGCTGCCACAGCTGGCACTGCGCCAATCCAAAGCCAGGAGCCAAGTGCTTCCTCCTGGTCTCCCATGCGAGTGCAGGGCCCAAAGACTTGGGCCATCCTCCACTGCCTTCCCGGGCCACAGCAGAGAGTTGGACTGGAAGAGGAGCAACCGGGACAGAATCCGGCACCCTGACTGGGACCAGAACCCAGAGTGCCAGTGCCACAGGCAGAGGATTAGCCTAGTGAGCTGCGGCGCTGGCCGTCTCCTAACTTTGTATGTCCTGGCTTAGCCTTTCCATCCTACGTACATTTATTTGCATTTACTTGGCATTCTGGAAGCACGCCATGCTGTTTCATGCTTTTTTAGCCTAACTCACACTGCTTCCCCTGGAGTAGTCATCCCTGCCCTTAGCTCTTTACCCTTTTGTTGACCTTGGAAGCCCCCGTTAGTCCTCTGGGATCCAGTCTATGCCTCCTTCCTCCGGGGGCCTTCTCTCTCCCTGCCTGAGCAGAGTGTTCACCCAGCTGAGCTGGATGTGGCTCTAGGACTTCCCACATTGGAACACAATCATTTGTTGGCAACTCTGCCTCAGTTACACCACACCTTGCTCATCACTGTGTCCCCTGTACCCAGCCCCAGGTAGCAGTGAGGTGACTAAGCAGTGTCTGTTGGCTGAGTGTCCGGACAAATGGTTACAGGCTACAGGTAGTTGTTTCCAAACCTTTTTGGAACAGAGATTTAAAAAACTACAGTACAGTAAACTTTGTTTAAATTGATACAGTCATTTCTCTCCACATTAAAGCACACTCCCATATGGCAATTACATTTCCATTATTATAATTTATCTGTTAAGTTTTTGCACTGATTCAACTGCCTTAGATTTTAGATTATTTTTCTGATTTTACATTAAGCAAATCTTACGTAAACCTCACTTCATTTGTGGCTCTCAGAGACTTCCTGATCTCTAATAACACAGTGATCGTCTTCAACGTTCATCTGTCCACGAGGGCACTTCAGAAAGTTGGGGAAAATGTGCATCACCTTTTGATTCCATTATTCCACCACGTACTTTTGGAAGTAATCTCATATCTCACTTCCTGGTGCACAATCTCTACTTGTCCATTGACCTCTGCCATGGAAGGAGATTTGAAATTTCTGTTCCCCTAAGCTGCAAGCACTGATCTCAAAATCAACCATTAAATAACCGGTATGATTCTAAGGATACAATATCCTTCTTGTATGCCTTTTAAAAATTATGAAATCTGGGGTCGGCGCCATGGCACAGTAGGTTATATGGGTGCCAGTTCTAGTCCTGGCTGTTCCTCTTCCAACCCAGCTCTCTGCTGTGGCCTGGGATAGCAGTAGAAGATGGCCCAAGTGCTTGGACCCCTGCACCTGCACGGGAGACCTGGAGGAAGCTCCTGGCTCCTGGCTTTAGATCAGCACAGCTCCGGCCGTAGCGGCCATTTAGGGAGTGAACCAACAGAAGGAAGACCTTCTGTAACTCTACCTCTCAAATAAATAAAAAAATAAAATTTTTAAAAAGTTATGAAATCACAGTACCTGATTAGACTGTGACATTCTTAGGATGGTAGGGAAATCATCCTTAAACTCATCTGCGAGGTCCATGATTACTTTCTGGATCCCCTCCACTAACACAAAAAGAAGTTAGAAAACAACAACAGCAACAACTTTAAAGACATCCTCTAAGGGATTAAAGGGGACATGGAACAGTGGGTCCAGGTCCTAGGTGACTAGGAAAGCAGGCAGACCCCGGGGGACGTGATCCCCCGTTGTTCCCATACCCATACCCCCTTTACAACAAGACTGTGTATACTTCTTCCAGAAAAGTTCTTCAACACCTGCCCACATATCCACCCAACAGGCTTGATTGGCATGATCGTGGGTTCCCAGCACTCAGCGAGCGAGCAGGCCTGGGCAGTGCCGGTCCCACTCTGCTGTCAGTGCCGCCAGGAGAGCAGGCAGGTACGGAACCCAAAGCTCACACTGGAACTCTTTGTTAGTGCACAATGGGCTTCTGAGAACTGGTGATAGAGTCTCCGGAAATCCCACTGGAATGAGGGCAGGAAGAATGCTGGAGGTATAAGGAGAGGAACGAAGGGACTGGAAAATGAGCCACGCTCAGGAGTTTTGCAGAAGAAATGGATTTTTTTGCCCCCAAATTCTGCAGTGATGCCGTGATTAACGGATCGGCTGAGAACAAAGAGCCCCTTGAAAAAGAGTTGGCGAGTGCTTTAAAAGAAATGCTTCACACACAGCACCAAGTGGAAAGGGGACACGAGCGGTGCTTTCAGAAACATTTCCAGGCAGGTCCTTTTTACTTTGCCTAAATGAGGACCGCTAGGTCAGGCCCTGGCAAAACTGACAAGTCTCTGATGGGTCTTCTTTACAATCTGAACTGTTTTCCTTCCTCTTTGGCCTTCCTAGTTAAACAATCTCCCACTTCAAATGTGTGGGGAGCAACCCGGACTAGACTGAGTTACTGGAATTAAGACTTATTCTATGCATCTGCTCTCCCACAATATGGCGCTGGGAGAGAAGAAAACAGCTTCTACACAGCTGCCTCCAGTTCAGCCAATAAACTGTAGGACTCGCTCCTGATTGGAGGAGAGCAGCGTACTCGGCGTGTGGGCAGCCGAGTTGGGATTGGCAGAGGAGGACTATAAAGGAGGAGAGAGACGGCATGCACCAGGAACATCTAAGAGGAACATCTATCTGAAGGAACACCTGTGCAGCCCCTGAGAGAGCCGGCCGGCAGTGTGCCGCTCCCCTGCGGAAGTGGGGAATGTGGCCAGGGGGAACTGCCCTTCCACGGAGGTGGAAGGGACAGTAGCCAACCCGGGAAGAACCAGCAGCAAACCCGGGGAGGGCCGAGCAGACGAAAGAACAGCGCAGGGTCCTGTGTCGTTCCTCCACGAAGAGGGGGAGCGACATAATGGTGCCGTGACTCGGATATGAAGCCTAGGCAGGGCTTAGTGTCGTTCCTCCACGAAGACGGGGAGCGACATAATGGTGCCGTGACTCGGATATGAAGCCTAGGCAGGGTTTAGTGTTGCTCCTCCATGAAGAGGGGGAGCGACATAATGGTGCCGTGACTCGGATATGAAGCCTAGGCAGGGCTTAGTGTCATTCCTCCATGAAGAGGGGGAGCGACATAATGGTGCCGTGACTCGGATATGAAGCCTAGGCAGGGTTTAGTGTCGTTCCTCCACGAAGAGGGGGAGCGACAAAATGATCCTGTTGTCTGTCCCCTGATGGGCCCTGGGAGGAACTTGATAGCATGTAGACTTGGTGGGCTGCCTGGTTATATTTTAGTGCACAGGAGTCAAGAGTTAACGAAAATCCTGTTCTGATTAAGGTGACTGCATTCCCCCCATCAGAGTGCCGGGGTCTCATGCTGGCTGGGGGTCCTGACTCCAGCTTCCTGCTTCTGTCCATCATGATCCTAATGCTTAGGTTAAGTATGCCCTTAACATTGGACAAGCGCAACCCAGTGCCAGAAAGAACATCTGTCAGGAGGCCAATGCTGTGGCATGGTAGACTAAGCCTCCACCTGCAGCACCAGCATCCCATACAGGTGCCGGTTCAAGTCCTGGCTGTTCCACTTCTGATCCAGCTCCTTGCTAATGGCCTAGCAAAGCAGTGGAAAATGGCTTGAGTGCTTGGGCCCCTGCACCCACATCAGAGATCCAGAAGAAGTTCCTGGCTCCAGGCTTTGGCCTGGCCCAGCCCTGGCCATTGTGGCCATCTGGGGAGTAAACCAGCAAATGGAAGACCTCTCTCTGTGTCTCTCCCTCTTTCTGTCTGTAACTCTGCCTCTCAAATAAATAAATCTTTAAAGAAAAAAATCAGTCAGGAAGTGATGAACACACACACATACACACACACACAGGGTGTCTGTAAGGCTTTGAAACACTTTATCCTGATCCTATCAGGGAGGCTGTGGTGATGGTTCAAGTAATTAGGTCCCTGCTCTGTGGCACAGCAGGTTAAAGCCCTGGCCTGAAGCGCCAGCATCCCATATGGGTGCCGGTTCTAGTCCAGCTGCTCCACTTCTGATCTAGCTCTATGCTATGGCCTAGGAAAGCAGTAGAAGATGGCCCAAACCCTTGAGCCCCTGCACTCATGGGGGAGACCTGGAGGAAGCTCCTGGCTCCTGGCTTCGGATCGGTGCAGCTCCGGCCATTGCAGCCATCTGGGGAGTGAACCAGCAGATGGGAGACCTCTCTCTCTGTCTCTACGTCTCTCTGTAACTCTGTCTTTCAAATAAATAAAATAAATCTTTAAAAAAAAAAAAAGGTCCCTGTCACCCACACATGGAGATCTGGATTGAGTTCCCAGTCCCCAACTTTGGCTTGGCCCAGCCTCAGTCATCGTGGGCATTTGGAAGTGACAGTGGATGGAACTCTCTCTCTGTCTCTATCATCTATCTCCATCTCTCTCTCTCTCTTAAATAAACAAAATTTAAAACTAAAAGAAAAATGTTTTTCATGCTAATATTTGCCACACTTAAAGCAAAACTGCTTCAGTCTGTGTGCTTAAAAAATCCTTTTGACTCTTCCATAATGACCCTCTCCATGATAGGCAATTATTAAAACAAACAAACAAACAGGAGGTGATAGAGTAAGAAAATTCCACTCTGCCACACTTTTTGTTTATTTTATATTTGTGATCCAATCCAATAACATTTTGGTTTCTACTGAGTTATATTTCATGCCTCTATCCTTATACAGCTTTTATTATTTCAGATAATAAAGTTAGACAAAAATAGCAATTGCTACCAATATGAAGGGTACTTCAAAAAGCTCCTGGAAAATACAATTAAAGGTATGAGTTTGTTTTGTGTAAATTTTTTGTTGACAATTTATGGAAAATGAATATTATGAAAAACTATGCATGAATTTAAAAATCAATTTTGCACCAAAATAAATTTTTAATTCCTTTTTTCATGAACATTTTGAAGTACTCTTGCATACTAATATTACCAGTATCACTTGTCACCCTTCAAATAAATGGAAAAATCCTCAACAATATTTTTATAAAGATAAGGAATGTGAATTTGTATAAAGACAGTGAATTCTGGAAATAATTCAAAGTTCAAATGATTGGTGAATCAAGACAATGGAAGATATTCTGTTCATTGTGCTTGTGAAATGTACATATCAATGTGTGATAAGTGTACATCCAGGACGTGTATGTGTATAGGTCACATGTGACAAAAATGGCATTTCATAGTGACATAAAAATATTTTAATCAACAGTAGTAAAGCAACTGGATATTTAGATGGATGAAAATACTCACCTGACGCCGGCGCCGTGGCTCACTAGGCTAATCCTCCACCTTGCGGCGCCGGCACACCGGGTTCTAGTCCTGGTCAGGGCGCCGGATTCTGTCCCGGTTGCTCCTCTTCCAGGCCAGCTCTCTGCTGTGGCCAGGGAGTGCAGTGGAGGATGGCCCAGGTGCTTGGGCCCTGCACCCCATGGGAGACCAGGAGAAGCACCTGGTTCCTGCCATCAGATCAGCGCGGTGCGCCCGCTGCAGCGTGCTGGCTGCAGCAGCCATTGGAGGGTGAACCAATGGCAAAGGAAGACCTTTCTCTCTGTCTCTCTCTCTCACTGTCCACTCTGCCTGTCCAAAAAAAAAAAAAAAAAAATACCTATTAAAAATGAAATACAGGATGCTTGACAATTGTAAAATAATTATTTTTTAAAAAAGATTTATTTATTTATTTGAGAGGCAGAACTACAGAGAGAGGGAGAGAGACAGAAGTTTTCCATCTGTTGGTTCAAGAAACTAGAGTTAGGAATTGGAGCTGGAAATTGAACTCAGTTACTGGTGTGGGATGTAGGCATAATAACAGGTGTCTATATCGCTAGCCTAAATGCCCACCCTGGTTTTTCTTCTTTAATAATGAAAGTTCTCTATTTCTTTTACTTTATCCCATAGGGTTTCTTTTCTTTCTTTCTTTTTTTTTTTTCTTTTTTTTGGACAGGCAGAATGGACAGTGAGAGAGAGAGACAGAGAGAAAGGTCTTCCTTTTTGCCATTGGTTCACCCTCCAATGGCTGTCGCGGCCGGCGCACCGCGCTGATCCGATGGCAGGAGCCAGGTACTTATCCTGGTCTCCCATGGGGTGCAGGGCCCAAGCACTTGGGCCATCCTCCACTGCACTCCCTGGCCACAGCAGAGAGCTGGCCTGGAAGAGGGGCAACCGGGACAGAATCTGGCGCCCCGACCGGGACTAGAACCCGGTGTGCCGGTGCTGCAGGCGGAGGATTAGCCTAGTGAGCCGCGGTGCCGGCTATCCCATAGGGTTTCTAAAGACAACTCTTTCTCAGAGCTTCCTTTGATTTCTTTTTGCTCCAAGGCTTGTCTTTTTTTAAAATATATTTTATTTTATTTAATGAACATAAATTTCCAAAGTACAGCTTATGGATTACAATAGCTCCCCCCCCATAACTTCCCTCCCACCCACAACACTCCCCTCTCCCACTCCCTCTCCCCTTCCATTCACATCAAGATTAATTTTCAATTATCTTTATATACAGAAGATCAATTTAGCATATATTAAGTAAAGATTTCAACAGTTTGCACCCACACAGAAACACAAAGTGTAAAATACTATTTGAGTACTAGTTATAGCATTAAACACCTAAGAGTAATTGTGTATTAATTACAGAGTTCAACCAATAGTTTTAAGTAGAACATAAAAAATACTAAAAGGGTAAAGTATTATTTTTTTCTTTTTCTTTCTTTTTTGTTTGTTATATAGTTATTTTTTTATTTAATAAATGTGAATTTACAAAGTGCAACTTTTGTATTGTTGTGGCTTCCCCCTCCACCTCCCTCCCTCCCGTGGCCCTCCCCTCTCCCACTTCCTCTCTCATCCCGCCCTTCATCGAGTTTCATTTTCAATTACCTTCATATACTGAAGATCAACTTAGTATATACTAAGCAAGGATTTCAACAGGCTGCACTCACACAACCGCACAAGGTATAGGGTATTGTTCGACTAGTAGTGTTG